ATGCATAATGTTCAATCAAACCTGTGTGAAAATATTGGTATTAGTGGTTTTATCAACAAAAAATGTTAAGATAACATATATAAATAATTGATAGATAATTCATTGCATTTTAAAGATGCTTGTTTAAAACGAAAAGCTGGTAACTGAAATAATAGATGACTTTTGAATTCCCAAATTGGTTGGTGATTATTTGAAAATTGATCAGAGCACTGTTTTACTCGTACAAAAGATGATGAGATTGATTTTATTTTTCGACAAATTGATTATATATATATATATATATATATATATATATATATATACATATATCAAATAAATTAATCTAAACATACTGGCATTGATTACAACTCTGTCAGATATATTAACCACATGGCTCCAGTAGGCGGGCGCTAATATTACTGCCATGAAGAAATTCTTATAGGAGTAATGAAATGCTTAGAATTCCTTTGATATTAATATCTTATTTGAATTTTTAGGCTTTAAGTTAGACATCAGAATTCTCTTTGTGTAATTTTTAATATTTGCGAAACAAAACAAAAATATTTCATTTGTTCATATAAAATGTTCAATGAGAGTATATAACATATAACACATGATATATAATTGAAATTTTCAATATTAAAATATAGTTTTGTATAAAATTATTGCATAAACATAAGATTTATTACTGTAATTCTTGATAAAAGTGTTGTTACTTGTTCACAATTTCTTGGTTTCTGTGCCAACAAACCACAGAAAATCTAATAGATGGTAACTTAGAAAAAAATTGAATTCATATGTACTTTATCAATTTCTATGCACATGTAGATGAAGGTATTGACACGATTACGTAAAGTATGTTAGAATTTCTTGTTTTCTTTTTTATCTAGCGGTAAAAGCTATAAACTTCGAAGCTGGGATTCCAGATTATATACCCGCCTTGGACAGCTTAATGTCAAGCAGCATTGACATCGGTTTTTACTTTAAAATTAGATAGGAATATGTTTTTATGAAAATATTCTTGGCGTTGCTGCATCAATAATAAATTCATTAGTATTACAAAACTTTGAATATATGATTTTATTCCATAGAGATAGAACAACTATATAATAAAAAAATCCATGACGTTCAAGAAATCAGCACTTCATCTCATAGAACTCACACATCATCTCATTTAACATCGAACTAAAAAGTTATGATTGTTGTTAAATATATATGCATATGTAAAAAATGCATATTAAATTTTACTTTACTTATTTTCAGTTTTTCATCTAGAACACAGGTTTCCCAACTTGTTCGAGTCGTGGACCTCTTAGGTTTTGCCATGGACACCCTATTTAGCCAAAATCAATTTTTTTATAAATTTATATTTATACTAACATTTAGTAACATTGAAAGTAAAGATACAAATACAAGTTAAGATATTTATTGATTTCAAAATTAACAAGGTGTGTTGTGATCCACTACCGTGGATCTCCAAAATTTGGTTTTGCTGACGTGGACCCCTTGAAAGTTCTCATGGACCCTTAGGGGTTTATTTGGACCACTTTGGGAGTCACTGATCTATAATAGTGCGGGCAAGCATTAAAAATTAAATTATGGAAATTAATTAATGTAAAAATTCAATCAATGTTGCACTTAATTTTAAATTAGCCATCTTAATAGCAAACAAAACTATACATATACTTGAATTAAAACTTCAATATTTTTTATTGAAATAAATACATTTATTAGTGCATATTTTTTATCAGAAAGAGTGGTTCATTTTGAACCAATTCAAAGTAGGTTCTATTTAAAGACCAGTTGTATAAATAAATTTTTAAACAATTACTTGCATCTATTGCATAGTTCAAATTATACTTATAAAATTGATTAAACCTCCCAATGTTTTCCTCTATGACATTTCGACATGTACATATGATCTCTTTAAAGAATTCCACAGCAACACATATGAAGAGCTGCCTGAATTCAGTATTTCTCGCGGAGTTGATGCGATTATTAAACATATTGTCATCAGACATCATAATGTGTGTGTTTGTTTTTTCCTTGAGAAAGAAATATGTAATTGTGATGAGTTAAAATAATTCTTATAAAGACTAAAGTATTTCTTACTAAAATGTGGGTTGTGTACTTGTTTTTCATATAGTGCGAAAGGATATTACAGTGAGTGATTTTTTTACGATGTGCTTTACTATTTTATTGCAGTAGTACATGACTACTATAATAATGGATTATTTATAATTCAAGATAAATTTATATATATATATATATATATATATATATATATATATGTATATTTGTTTGTGTGTGTTTCAATTTGTTATAAAAATTATTTCATGTTAATGTGAGTTTGCTCAAATATCCTCAAAATTACTGAATATCTTTTTTTTACTGTGTGAATACAGATTAATCAGAAAAAATAAAAAATGTATATGTGAATAAATTATAGAAATATGTAAGATTTATGTATAGAATTCTTCGAAACTTATCCTTTCCATTTTCATTTGAATTTAAAGAAACCGTTTTATACATATATATTTTCATGAGCAAATGGTTATGATCTAATGATTATATATATATATATATATATATATATATATATATATATATAATTATTCTTTGGCCTGTAAGTATAGTATATAAAAAATATAGAGTTTGAAAAAAGATGGTTGTGTCGTAAGGGATCATAATAAATTTAATAAGGTAAACATGATATGATTGTCGGATTTAATATATATATATTATATATATATATATATATATATATGTGTGTGTTTCTGAGCAAATAATAGGTGTAATTTTACATGCCAGAAAGTTTATAAACAAAAAACGCGTCTCGGTGCATCTGTGTCAACAAGCCGCAAGAAGTCAATTAGATTTTTATGTAGAAAATATTTTCTATTTATATTAATGCGTTCTCAATAGTTTTTTAAGCAAACAAAAGTAGAATAATGATTATACGAACCAAGTTTATAACGTAATTATTGTTCAAATATTCGGTGAACCGCTTCAATGTTTTCTATTTGTTAATTATGAGGCATTGTCAAATGTGGTAAGATAATAACACTGTATTTGTATTTATTTCTCTCTAAAACAATTAATCTCTTGATTAAACTATTAAATTTATCAGTTTAAATATTCAGTGGTGTTGTGCTATTTTTTGTACTGAAATGCGCTCCGGTTTAGAAGAAAAAAACAGTTTGGATTTCAGTTCACGGATCGGATAAACAAGCCAGTTGGTTCAATTCAATCTCTTATTTATAATAATACATATAAAAATTCGATAAAAGATTCAATTCTTTTCAATTTTTTCGCTATAAGAAATCATCTTTAGTACCGGAACGCGTTCCTGTCCAAAAAGGAAGTAATGGAACGACTCTTCGGAGTATTCCGGCTTGACAACACCACTGCCCATGAATAATCCTATTCGTAAATCTAATGTTTTTTTTTAAATTCACTTGCAAAGTTTTAATGGCAATTGATAAAACTAACGATAGTCATAATACATCACTAAAAACAAGTAATTACAATATGTACAAGTTTCTTTTTTCTTATCTTTATTTGTGCATTTTTTGTACATAACACCGTACTTCTATAACACGGATTCGCTCTAACACGGTTTAAGAATTGAGGAAAGTTTTAATAAAACAAAAAATATAGTAAAACCTATGAAAAACGAACTTTTAATCAATATTTAGTAAAATCGCCGTACAATAGCTCAATAAATGTGATGAAACTAGTGCAAAAGACAACTAATTTTATATATATATTATCAGAGCGCGTACGTTCTATCGAAAATTTTTTCTAAAATCAACCGAACAATATATTAAATAATTCTCAAGCAATTCTTTAAATAAAATGAGCACAAAAGTTTGATAATGATTACTTTACATGTGTTACATATATAAATATCATTTTGCTAAAACCAAGTAATCGCAAATATACTTTTTTTTGCAAAAATTAATGCTCGGATCTGAAGGTAATATAGAAAACTGCTCAGAGGATGAGGATATTTTGCAAAAAAAGGCTCATGTTGGAGGCACTTATTTTTTAATTATGACGAAAGAAATCATATAATTCAAGCAATGTATATTCTTAAAAAAAATGAATAAATGCAACAATATTCTTTATAAAATCATGATATGTAGCATGATTTTTTGAAATCTTGGAACGTAACCCCTCTTTTTGTACTAGTTCTTTGTCCCTTAGAACACGGATTCGCATAACAAGCTAGTTTTCTGGGACGTAACTACCGTGTAGTACGGGGGTTACCTGCATTTTATTTAATTAAGTATTAACAATTTAACTTAGTATCTTGTATTATGTAATATAAACGTATCTTTCAAGTTTTTCTGGAGCTATAAATAAATTAATTAATATTGATATCTTTACTGGAATGCAAACTATATAGACACCTATATAGCGTTTAAAGGTGTTTACTATAAGATTATATATATACACCTAAGTCTGTTTTCACACGGTCTTTTTGTACACGGTTTTGATATAACACGGTTTGAAAATTGAATATTTTTAATTTTTTTACACGAATTTATTCCATTTAGCACGATTTGAAATTTTATGTACCTAAATTTTTTTGTCAAAATAAATTTTTGCGAAGTATGTTCATATCACAAAAAGTATTTATGAAAGAAAAAGTCTGAACCATCGATAGTATCGATAGTTTGCGAACACTAGCTTAAAGATTTAAGTGAATTCCCCTTTAGCGCGTACAAACAATTTTTACTGGTCAAAGCAAATGTGAATAGCACTAATTTAATTCTTGTTCTTAAAAATTCTTGTTTTTCACCAATTTTAATAGTTTTAGAGATTAGGAACAAATCACCCATTTTTGTATAAGATCAATGTCTTTTTTTACACGTTTTTTTTACACGGATTCTTCTGGAACCAATCTCCGTGTAAAAACAGACTTAGGTGTGTATATATATATATATATAATATATATATAGTTTATGTTAAGTAAAGAAACGTTTATATATATGTATACACAATCTATTTTCTAGATGGCTGACGCGTTTCTATCGAACGCCCGGGACACGATCCCCATGCAAACAACGGAAAAATATTGTTTGGGTAGCGAGAAGGAGTCTATTCCGCCTGGGACAATGAATCAGAGCAGCAAGCTGGATAAAACTCAAATAAACAGTCAGGTCAAGAGGTCCAGGCAATTGCGAAATGCGGCCAAAATTCAACAACAAAAACAGCAAAGTGAACAGGAATCATTAGGTAATATTAGGGAAAACAAATCAATCGTTACGCTTATTTAATTTCTTTTTTATGATCCTAGTTTTGGCTAAGGAACATGTTTTATTCTTCTTTTTGCAAGTAACCTTGAAGTAGGCGTTTTCAATTAAAAGTTTGGATTCTCTATTAAGTTGATGCTGTGGTTAAGAATATGTTTATACAAGAGAAAGTATTTTTTTTAAGCTGCTATTTCTTCAAAATATGTCGCAAAGGTTTTATCACAGAAATGATTTTTTTTTAATTCTATTTTCAATAGCAATCAGAATACATGACAATTCTATGAGCTATTTGGCTTATGCCATTCACTCACACACATACACACACACTTTCAAACACACATATAAATTTATCGGATAACTATTACAAAAATATTTAGAGAATCACTTCAATAAGTGATTCTACTATTCTGTTCAAATTGTGAGATTTTTAAGGTTCTCCATATTATCTTAGGACAGCTTCTTCTTCAGTCTTCTTGAAATTGGTGTCATTAAATAAAACATTTTTCTGTATTTTATCTTTCTAAGTAAAAGTGCATTAAATTGAAATTTTTAGACATTGATATAAAAAAGTATTTTAAAATGGTTTGTGACGTATTTTTGTTTGTTGAATGACCAATTTGCAAATAATGTTGTTTTAAAAAAGTGGAAGGTCCAATTTTGGAAAATTGGATTATCTATTGAATCGACAGTTGATGCGATTAAGGATATTTTTTGCATGAAAATTTCTTTTTAATTGATTTGTTTTGAAGGTGTTTTTTTTTAAATATGTAGCCGAGACTTTTTCCATTTAAATTAAATAAAACATCTTTCTAAATGAAAGTGCATTAAATTGAAATTTTTAGACATTAATATCAAAAAGTATTTTAAAATGGTTTGTGACGTATTTTTGTTAGTTGAATGACCAATTTGCAAATAATGTTGTTTTAAAAAAGTGGAAGTTTCAATTTGGGAAATTGGACACTCCATTGGGTCAACAGTTGAAGCGTTGGTTAAGTTTATTTTCAGCATGAAAAATTATTTTAAATGATTTGTTTTAAAGGTGTTTTTCTTTTAATTAAATAAAACATTTTCTGTCTTTTATCTTTCTAAATAAAAGTGCATTGAATTAATTAAAAACTCTTATTGTTAGACATTGATATAAAAAAGTATTTTAAAATGGTTTGTGACGTATTTTTGTTAATTGAATGACCAATTTGCAAATAATGTTGTTTTAAAAAAGTGTATTAAACTAGTTGAAGGCGCATTTAGCCTGAAGGCAAGTTGCATGAACTTCCCGAAATGTGTAAATAATATACTTAATCGATCCAATTTTAGAATAAGCAACTTGATCCATTCCCAACTAATATCTTTCGAACAGTTTTTGATTTTTTAAAATCGGTTCGGTAGGATGAGCTTAAATGTGGACGAAAATTTAACACTTTTTTTCAACAGTTAATTACAAGAAAACGGCTCGGTAGATTTTCACCTAAAATTTATCAGTATCATTCCCAACTAATATCTTTCAAACAGTTTTTGATTTTTTAAAATCGGTTCGGTAGGATGAGCTTAAATGTCGACGAAAATTTAACACTTTTTTTCAACAGTTAATTACAAGAAAACGGCTCGGTAGATTTTCACCTAAAATTTATCAGTACCATTCCCAACTAATATCTTTCGAACAGTTTTTGATTTTTTAAAATCGGTTCAGTAGGATGAGCTTAAATGTCGATGAAATTTTAACACTTTTTTTCAACAATTAATTACAAGAAAACGACTCGGTAGATTTTCACCTAAAATTTATCAGTACCATTCCCAACTAATATCTTTCGAACAGTTTTTGATTTTTTAAAATCGGTTCGGTAGGATGAGCTTAAATGTGGACGAAAAGTTCAACACTTTTTTTCAAATTACAAAGAAACGGCTTGGCAGATCGTCGCACAAAACTGACAAACGATAGTCCTCATCGAAATACATCAAATGGCTTTTAAATTTCTGAAATCGGTTCAGGCGTTTTTGAGAAAACGTTGATCAAAGGTCTAATTCTGACAAATGCCAAAAAAACAATACCAATTTTTGCACACTTTGACGAATTTTTAAAGCTGAACCAGTTATCGTAGAGCCGTAATATTTTAGTATGATCTAGAAGACTATGGTATCTACTGCCAAAAAAATAATCATAAAAATTGTCGAAATTTTTTTTTTAAAAACTTTATTACAAGAAAACGGCCCGGCCGATCTCTACCAAAAACTAATCAGCACGATTCCCAACCAATATCTTTCGAACAGTTTTTGAATTTTCAAAATCGATTCAGAATTGCGGGCTAAAACGTAGACGAAAAATTTTTCACTTTCCTGCGATTTATAAAGAAACGGCTTGGCCGATCGTCGCACAAAACTGACAAACAATAGTCCTCATCGAGATACTTCGAATGGCTTTTAAATTTTTGAAATCGGCCCAGCCGTTTTCGAGAAAACGTCGATTTACGGCAAAAAATCTGTTCACATACACGCACACACACACATACACACACACACACACACACACATACTTTTTCCAAATTTGGTCTCATTCGATTCAGAATGGCTTGAAACGTCGAGAAAACGTAAAATTAGAGAATCGGATTTTTTGATGAAAACATAAACTTCTCCTTCGGGAAGTTAATTAATAAATAAAAGGTAGACATTGATATAAAAAAGTATTTTAAAATGACTTTATGACGTGTTTTTTGTTAGCAAAATAACCAAACGCTTTTTCTAAATTAAATAAAAACGAAAACAATCAATAAATTTGTCCAATATCTATTTTTACCGTATTAAAGTATACCTAAAACTCGCATAACTCGCATTAAATTGTATTTTGAATAATTGTTTTTATGAATCATTTTATATACTTTATTATTTCCTGAAACGCCTACGTAGATCCTGAACATTAATAACTCAAAATTATTCTATAAATCATACTAATAGTGAAATCGAATAAAATTATGATAATAGTTCTTTTGGAAAAGATGATGTACTTAACAAACTGTTTAACCAATTTGTTAACCGATCTATAAAATTTTAATTAATAAAAAGTAACTTATAAAAGTTAATGACTTTTCATGAACTGCAATTAATTTGTTGTTAAGTTTGTGAGAATTACACATTAACAGGTTTAATTCTGAAAATGGAATCGCATGAGAGCTTAAGACGTACATTTAACTAATCTCATTGGTAGAACGAATTCAAGCATTTGAAGCAATGTAAATAGTTTCTATAAACAATCCGTCTAATATTATGAGATGAGCTTTTATGAGGTTAAAATAACTTTGATGTCATTTATTCAATAGACGTATTTTCAGATGGATTTGACGTTTACAATATCGAGACGGCTATGCCAGTTATTGATTTGGATGCGATCGAAGCACACCTCAAGGCAGCTAAGGACGAAGAAATGAGGGTAAGAAATTATTTTTTTATAATATATATATATATATATATATATATATATATATATATATATAATATATAAGTCCAATTGCTTTTTATCGTGTTCTAGCAACTAGTTTAATTTCGATTTCTTCTAACTACTATAAAACTTCTTTAAGTTTGAAAGTTTCAAACTTTCTGCATCATTGTACTGTGGATTAAATGAAGCACTTTGAATTCTGTACTATAAGTATACAAACATTCACGGAAAAGGAAAAAAAAACGAAAGCCACCAAAGCAAAATAATATTAATCTAGATTCATGCACATAGTTTAATTTTATTTGATTCGCTTCGCTTAATCTTGCGATTTGAACAGGGTTAGATTAGTAATATATCTGCATATATCAAATAAGAGGAGTAATTTCATAATATTTTGTTAAGACATTGAACTCTTTCCTCATAAAGTTTTATCAAAACCGCCAAAAACAGCTTTTTAACTTTCCGTAGTGCAAGTTATAGAATCGCAAAAAAATCGAAAATGAAAATTTTTATATATATTTACGTTTCTGAATATTTTGGCATACCTTAGAAAAGATGGATGTATGTGTATGTTTGTGTGTGTGTGTGCGTGTGCGTATGTATGTGCGGATACAAATTTTCGTCGACGATTTCGGGAATACCGATCAACCGATTTGAATAATTCGAATATTCGATAAAAATATTCGATTTGTATTGATAAGGAGACGTGCTGATTAGTTTTTGGCAAAGGCAGGTCTAGTCGTTCCGAAAATACGGGGCAAAAAGTGCCAAAAATGGTAACCCAGTTTTTAAGAAAACGGAGCGTCCGATTTTAATAATTGAAATAACATTTTACTTGTATTAACAAGATGAAGAGTTGATCAAATTTTCATGAAGGCAGGTTTAGCGGTTTCGGAGATCTAATTAAAAAAGTAAAAAAAAGCCATTTGGCGGTCAAACATGATCATTAGACATATGCACATCAAATTATCAGATATTTTATAGAGATTTTAACAATAAGTATAAATTTTGTTTAAATTCCTATGGGTTCCGTACCAATGTTTATCTCTATGCATGTGCGTATGTATGCAGTCAAAGCAGTACGATTGCTTTGAAAAAAAAGTTCAAAATTTCCAAAATATGTGAAAATAAAGAAAAAAGTAATTTTTTGTCGAATTTATAGTTTCTCAAAAATCTAATTTTTTAGAAGTAAATTTTTTTCAAAAATCTTAATCGTTTTTAAAAAAATAATAATTTTTGGTACGGGAAGTTCCAGCAATTTGCCTTAAGGCACGATGCCATGCGCCCCACTGGTTCAATACTTACCTAGTTACTAATATCTAATCAGCACTATTTTTAACTCATATTTTTCAAACGGTTTTTACGCATTTTGCACTTTTTTGCTAAAGAAACGACTCGGCGGATCGTTGCCAAAAACTAATCAACGCAAAATCTATCAAATTTTTGAAATCGGTGCTATAAAAATGACGATTAAAGGTTCAATTTTACACATTTTACTTTCAATTTTGGTCTCAAATGATTCAGAATGACTTGAAACGTCGAGAATACGTAAAACTAGCATATCGAATTTTATGGCGAATATATGAACTTCTTCTACGGGATGTTAGATGATATAATGGAAAATATCAGTAGCCCCCAAATCCACTCGTTAAAGGCGTCCATGATGATAGTTGCAATTTTTTATACATATGAACATTATATAGATAATATATAAATATTATATAAAATATATATTTTGTAAATTATTGATTATACTATTGAACACTGTTATTGAAACGAGTAAAGATTCGTCACGTTTATAAACAAATTTTATTGTCAGTTTTCACTAATTCAAAGAAGCAGTCAATTCATCATTGAACTCGTAATGATATTCAAGAGAGTGATAAAGAACTGATTTTAAAATTAAAATTTGGTTGAGAATCGACCTGATCAGTTTTTGGTAAAAATTCGACGATTTTCATGAATTTTTTTTGGTGATAGATATCATGGTCTTCTAGATCATATTAAATTGTTACGGCCCTACGACAAGTCATTTAATTTTGAAAATTCGTCAAAGTTTGCAAAAATTAGTATCGTTTTTTGGCGTTTGTCAAAATTAGACCCTTCATCGACGTTTGCTTGAAATTTAAAAGCCATTTGATGTATCTGGATGAGGATTATCGTTTGTCAGTTTTGTGCGACGATCTGCCCAGCCGTTTCTTTGTAATTTGTAAAAAAGTGTTAAACTTTTCGTCTCCATTTAAGCTTATACTACCGAATCGATTTTTAAACATCAAAAACTGTTCGAAAGATATTGGTTGGAAATCTACCGAGCCATATATCATGGTCTTATAGAACTTACTGAAATATTACGGCCGTATGACCAATAGTTTAATTTTAAAAATTCATCAAAGTTTGAGAAAATGAGTAATTTTTTGACGTGTTAAAATTAAAATTAGACGACTTGGTATAACGATATGGTACTTGCTCTTAATGAACATTAAGGTCCTACGGAAACTGGTTCAATTATAAAAATTGTTGATTTTTGAAAATTTGCTTTTAGAAAATACTCCGAGTTAACGTGTTCGTTCGTTTTCAATTATGTGTAATAAATCCACTCGGAATACTTTTAATCACTCAATTTATTTTTTATTGATTAAGTCGATTATTTACACATATCGGGAAGTTTATGTGACTTGCCTCAAGGCAAAATACCAATACCAACTAATTCATTTTTATAAATAATCCATTTATTGACAGCCCTCGATTTATGATATGTGTGCTCATCCAATGAAGAGACCTCGAAATAAAATATAACATGCTAGTTCTGCACAGTTCAACGCATTGGCTTTCACCGCGAAAACGCGCACCATTCGACATCACATTCATTGTAATTATTTTGCCTCAGAAATATGTTATTGTTTTCAAACGTGGTCAGTACTGTTAAATACTTAAAATAGTTACAATCGTCCTATTATCAATCTTTTATTATATTGCTAATTAATTTAATGGCGACTTCCTATGAAATTCATTTCAATTGTGTGTGATTTCTTTTCTGTAATTGTGGAGTGTTACTGTTATTATTTTGTGCTTTGAGAATGGGTTCATTGGCAAATATGTCGAAAGCTATTAAAAGACATTACAAAAAGGATTCACGATTTGTTATGGATTTATACACATTGACTTATGATAATCATGAGTCATTGGATTCATTAACCGAAGTTGTGAGTATTATTGAGCAGATTTACACAGCTTTGGTTTTTACATTGCTAGAGAATTGTGAAGAATTTATGAATTTTATTATGAAAAATCAAGTGAAAATTTATCTTTTTTTAGGTGTAGTCGTGCACAAACAGATAGTGTTTTTTTATCTAAATCGTGTTTGCCCTAATTTACTTACAAAAAAATTAACTATTAAATTAAATTAAAATCATTTTTATTGCAATTTATTTTTAAAATGCTGATTTCTAAAACTATTTACTCGTCGTGGTATTGTGAGATATGAACTCGATATTAATTTTGACAAATAGTAATATATTAAAAAATAATAATAAATATCGATGCTAATTGAAATTGCGTTTTTTTCCTTATAGTTATGTAAAATATTTAAATTATATTGGCATAATTTTTAAAAAGATAATAGCTTGGCAGTGCTGATTAGTTTTTGGCAAAGTTTAGCTGGACTGTTCCTTTGTAACTAATGTTTTTTTTTGCGACTTTAATGAAACTTTGTATTGCGATAATTGTTTGTGGTTTTAATGAATATACTAATTTTATAAGTCTAGGACAAGTGGTTTAATTATAAAAATCCATTAAAATTTGAAATGATGGTTTTAAAGCATACACCGTGTATGTTGGGTATACAATTATATATATTACTAGCTGATCTGGCAAACGTTGTTTTACCATGTAATGTTTTGCTAGATTTTTTTTTATATATAGAATTAGAGGTGGGTCGTTGACGGTTTTGCCGTCAACGAAACGAAACGGTTATCGGGGTATCGTCAACTAGTTAAATAACTAGTTATTTTTCAACTATAGTTATTTTTAACGATTCAACGCTGGCAACGTTAAGAAACTGATAGTTAAAATAACTGTTTTATTGAAAGTTGGTAATATGAAGTTTGTTCTTATAAGAGTCAAGTTGACGTTGTTAACTGATTTGATGAATAAAAATAAATAAATGTGAATTGTCACATTTATTACACACACACACATACACACACACATATATATATATATATATATATATATATTTATATATATATATATATATATATATATCACATTTATTATTATTAATAATAAATAATGGTTTAATTTGAAAAACTTAAATATTTTCATTACAGCAAAGCCGTATACTGAAACATTGAATTTACATGTTATATAAAAATAGCAATATAAAAATATATAGTTACATTAAAATGTTATAAAAAATAAAAAATCAATTTTCAGGTTTAGTTTAAAAAAATTATTACAAGACAAATGCTATGAGATTTTTATGAAAAAATATTAACCATTGAAAACTATAATAAATGTAACTGATTTTCTAAAATTAAACGATTTGGCGCGTGTTGCAAGTTTCTTTTAAGATGTACATGTACATTTGCAATATTATAAAAGCAGTAGCCTAACAATAAGCGATTTTCATAGTATTAGTTGATCCTTTCCGACGCAGGTACCTGCCTACGTTCGTTTTCGACAACGAACGAATTCCTATATCGTTGAAAAAACTAACTGGCCGCCATGTTTTCAACTGCTTCGAAACCAGTTGATTTTCAACTAGTTATTTCGTTGCGACGAAACGGTTAGTTAGTTAACGAAGAAGAAACGGTTGAAAATAACCGTTCGTTGATTCAACGCCCATCACTATATAGAATATATTGCTATGAATTTATCGAAAACTATTTATTCTTCGATAAATTCATAGCAAATTTTGTGTTTTCAAAATTAGTGGAAAATAACCATTAGTGATTTATATTTTACATTGCATTATTAAATGGTTTAATTCAATACAAACTTCCAGAGATGAAGTTTTTCATCTTTTTCAATTTATTGAGAAATTTAATGAAACATGGAGGATGTCTGACTGTGTCTAAAATGTTTAGGTTTGACATAGGTAGAACATTTGTCAAGCCTTGAAAATATATACATAGTGAATAATTTTTCTGCTAAACTTGTTCTAATACTGGAAATGTTGAATCTTAAGAGAATGAGAGCTTTAGAATCAATTTTCAAAATATTTCATTCCAGAGACCTTGTAATTTTGTGCATTGGCATTTTTACAAAAGTTGAGAAAAGCCCGTTTAATAACGTTTTTGTGTATAAATAAAAGTACAAACAAAACAACTTAATACAATTGAATTGAATAATATTTAACTAAAACATCCTGTTAAATGTAATTGATCATTATCTGTCAAAAACATATGACATTTGACGTATGAGCCACCGTCCATTGTTTTATTTAAATTACGCTTCTACAAAAATTTTCGAATAAAAAATGTAAAGTTTCTACCTATGGATTAGCACGAATTTTTCAAAACTGAGACTGGCCAATCCGTTTATCCATTTTAACGTTTTACCATACCTAACATTTTATCGAGCTTCATTTTTATATATAAGAAGATAAGTTGATTTGAAAGATTTCAATTGCAAATCGCATTGGTTTACTTTATAGTGAATGAAAAAATTTTGTTTTAAAAAAAACGTTGAATTAAATAGCTTATTCTACATTTATATTAATTAAGTCGATCATTTACACATATCAAGAAATTCATGCAATTTTTCTGAAGGTATTTTATAAAATAATTTGTCTCTATAAAATTTATACTTGGCTGTGATTTTTTTCATAAATAACGTCTTATACTAGTTTTTCTATTTAATTTACAATAGAATAAGTTATACTGCAGTGATACCAGAAATTCATGCAACTTTTCTTAAGGTATTTTTTAAAATAATTTGTCTCTATAAAATTTATACTTGGCTGTAATTTTTTTCATAAATAACGTCTTATTCTAGTTTTTCTATTTAATTTTCAATAGAATAAGTTATACTGCAGCAATACCAGAGAGTAGAAATTCATGCAACTTTTCTGAAGGTATTTTATAAAATAATTTGTCTCTATAAAATTTATACTTGGCTGTAATTTTTTTCATAAATAACGTCTTATTCTAGTTTCTCTATTTAATTTTCAATAGAATAAGTTATACTGCAGTAATACCAGAGAGTAGAAATTCATGCAACTTTTTTGAAGGTATTTTATAAAATAATTTGTCTCTATAAAATTTATACTTGGCTGTAATTTTTTTCATAAATAACGTCTTATTCTAGTTTTTCTATTTAATTTTCAATAGAATAAGTTATACTGCAGGCAGTAATACCAGAGAGTAGAAATTCATGCAACTTTTTTGAAGGTATTTTATAAAATAATTTGTCTCTATAAAATTTATACTTGGCTGTAATTTTTTTCATAAATAACGTCTTATTCTAGTTTTTCTATTTAATTTTCAATAGAATAAGTTATACTGCAGTAATACCAGAGAGTAGAAATTCATGCAACTTTTTGAAGGTATTTTATAAAATAATTGTCTCTATAAAATTTATACTTGGCTGTAATTTTTTTCATAAATAACGTCTTATTCTAGTTTTTCTATTTAATTTTCAATAGAATAAGTTATACTGCAGTAATACCAGAGAGTAGAAATTCATGCAACTTTTTTGAAGGTATTTTATAAAATAATTTGTCTCTATAAAATTTATACTTGGCTGTAATTTTTTTCATAAATAACGTCTTATTCTAGTTTTTCTATTTATTTTCAATAGAATAAGTTATACTGCAGTAATACCAACCAAACTTTTGTGAACTGGTAACCCTGTTTCATCCTACCTTCACAAAATTTTCTTCTCATCTGTGCTTCTTCTGCATCTGCAGCTGCCAAACATCTGCTCTTCCTCAAATATTTTTTATGGTTATGTGATAGTTTACTGTAAATAATAAATATGATCTTGAAATGATCTAGTTCAAATTTATATTTAGCTTAGTGTAGTTTATTTAAATAATTTATTTTAATTTTAATTCAAGAAAATGTTTGAAAAGCTCATCTCTCAAATTAAAATCACTGCTAGTGCATTAGGAGATGTTTTGAGTTCCAGAAATAATATAGATTTTAGTATCCGTGATCAATATAGTAAAATTAATAATTTATTAAGTGATTCAAATAGTTCATACGATTTTCCTCCAAGATCTCATATTAGAGGAGCTTCTAATATTTATTTGGATTTATGTGTGCCAAAAACAGATGAAGATAAATTTTTAACACATGTGCCTAAAAAGCTTGACAACAAATATGATTGTGAAGATGGAGATTTCTTTGATAGAGTAATAATTTATTTTGCATGGAATAAAATAGGATAATAAATAATTTAATTATTATATATGCTTGAATATACATGCAACTTTTTTAATAAAATGTAGAGCTCATCATATTAAAAATTAATCAATAAAGAGTTTGTTAATTATACAACAGGCAGTTAATTGGTTCATTCACTTTTGTGAATTTAAATAAACTTTATATTTTAACTAAAAATCAACAGAACTTTAATATACAGTACTCTATAGTCTACATTCTCATTAAACTTTGAAAACTTTTCAACTGCAATATTTGATCAGCTGAATTATTTCTCTCTAATAATTAATAATGTACTTTTAAAATAATGAGCAACTTATAAATGTAAGAGAGCTTTAATTATCTAATAATATTTAATTTTATTAGTCATTTAGAAATAATTTTGCTATTAACACTAATAACAAATTATGTATTTAGCAATCTCTTTAAAAAACCTTAAATATAATTTTATCTCAGATTTGTCTTAAGTTTCAATTAAATTGTTTAGAAATTATTAGCTTAGAAAAATATATTAAGAATGTTTATCGCTTAAATATAATATTATTAAATATTTAATATTATTAAACATATTTAACACAAATCTTCATTTACTCTATGTGAATTTTGCACTATGTACAAAATTTTATGGAATTTTGTCGATTTTTACAGTTGATAAACTGTTTTTTTTATTTGCAGAGGAGAACAGATAGAGAAGAAATTAGAAGGCGTCTTGCAATGGGCCCAGAACCTGAAAATTTCTCAAAAGCACCTCGAAAAAAAAGTTTACAGTCACGATTGCAAAGTGGGATGAATCTACAAATATGTTTTATGAATGATGTTTCTGATAATGAAGGTTTAACATCTGAAATAAATGTACAGGTATTATATAACCACTTATTTATTAATAAATATTTTTTATCGAGATACTAAATATTGATATTGGAAAGAAAGGTTGTACTCAATCCAAATTTAAATTTCTTTACTATTCTTAAAAACTTGTTTGAATACATTGGACTAAAAATATAAGTATTTGAACTTGTTTTAAGAATTGTAATTAATAAAAATTATTATTTCGATTGTTAAAGGAAAATGAAAAACCTGCATTAATGTCCGAAACAATAGGGTTATCAGAAAATACTATTGTACCACCAAATCACTTCAAATCTATAGATGAACCAAATACGGATGCAAATGGTAAATATTGATTTAAAGTTATTCTCTGTTTATTTAAGTTATGTAGAATATATTTAATTTTTTCTTTCATTTATAGAAAGATCTGGTTTATTAACTATTCAAATGCCAAAGACTGAAGAAGACTTTTTTGCTTGCCAAGCAAGATTGCAAGTGGAAGCGAGGCTAGCGTTAGCCCAAGCTAAACAAATGGCTCATATGCAAATGGAGGTAAAATATAAAAATATAATACACAAACCATTTTGAAGTACATAAAATTATTTTTATCTATTAGTTCTAGAATAAATTAATAACAAAATCAATATATTTATCTAGATGTGGAAATAATATTATGTACAACAACTTTCAGCAGAATTAATTAAGCAATGAAATTTAAAAATAATATGATGGTGTAAATATTTTTTTCAATTTTTTTTAATTGGAAACTAATTAAATGCTAATGTAATATGGTATAATATTTATTTTTAAATATATTATCTATTATAGTTAGAAAGGCAAAAACAAGTTTCATCCCCCATTACTGATGTAATAAGATCTGCTCTCACAACTGTTGGATGTGCATCACCTGAACATCACAGAAGACTCTCCCGGCGTTTGTTGACCAGCATGACGATTGCTCAATTGCAGGTTGTTGTTTGCCGACTCCATACACAGGTTGAAATATTTAATGAACAGTTGGTGGGCTTATTAATGAATCGTGATGAACTTCATATGAGCCAAGATAGCATGCTGGTTGATATAGAGGATTTAACCAGATACCTGTAAGTGTTTAATGTAAGTGCTTCTTTCTTATTTTGTTCGGGTTCTGTTAGTTATAAGGTGTTACCTTTTTTTATAGTTTAACTGTATTGATCAGTTTCTTCACTTTAATAGTTTTTTTACAAAATATTTATTTTTGTTTTTGCTTGCTATTATTAAGACTGCCTCTACCAAATTAATTATAATATTGCCTGAGCTATGAGTTTGGAAAATACTAATAAATTTCATTTAGTTTTATTTTACTAAATAGGTATTTGTGTGGAAGCATCAGAGATAGTGTTTTTATTTTACATCTTTTACAATCTATTGGGTTATTTAAAGCCTAAAAATGTTCTTTAGTGCATCAACAATAAAAAAATGTTTTTACAAATATTTTAGTGGTGCCAAAGATTCGACTGTAAAGAAATCAGAAACCAAAACAAGAAAGCAAAACCAAAAGAAACCTAATTTGGACAAGAATAATCATTTACAAAGGATATCGCATATGATACGAAAATGAGTAAAATTCATTAGATTAGGTTAAGTAGTAAATAAAGTAAGCGTAAAGTATACTCATGAAAATTATCAAAACTAAAGAATCGTTTTTTTATTGCAACATTAAAGTGGTTACTCATAAAATCATAAAAAGGTGGAAAGATATAAACCACAGAAATCTGTTGTTGAACTTTTCACATAAAATGAATCAATATTCATACGTATTAAAGATCTCTTACATAATTAATTTTATAATAACGTTTACTTATAATGGAATAAATTTCATTATTTTAAAGTCAACTTTAAGTAAATTTTCACTATAATTAAATTGTAAGAAAACATATACTCAAGTTATCAGATTATTTGTAATCATTTGATAAACTTATTATTTTACAAATTACTCACAATGCTGCTTAATGTCCTTCTATTTAAATACAGCCCTGTTTGCATTCTCATTGCAAAAAATAACTCTCGCATTAATTTTATATATCTGATTTGTATCTATATGAATAAATATATTGTGTATAAATTTTTTACCTAAATTATTGAGAGTGTGCTGCGAAGAGATGAAGAATTTATTTAATATTAAGATTCACTTTGTAAATATTTGTGACACTCAAAGAAAGCTCAAATTGTATTATATTATTGTTTAATATAGGATAAATAAATGTTTACATTTTTTGCAAATATTTGCTGGGAATAAATTAGCCTTTTTAAAATGATCTAGAATATTTTTAAATCTAATGCTTTATCAGGAAAGTAAAATTACAATGCTTGATTTATTAGATATCTTATTTTATAGTAAATGAGCAATTCATATTTATTAGAAACAAATGCAAAGCATTCCAGAAATAATCCTTATTATTCAATTAACATTTGGCCCCAAAAATGTTGGGATTAAAGTTAAACACTATCTATTTTCATGATGCACAATTTCAAAATTATTATTGTAATAATTTTTCAGAAACTTTATAAATTTAAAACATATT